GCCTCTTCAGAAGCCATAGGGACATCCAGGAGAGAAGAGAAAGGCCACGCACTGACCACAGGAAAACAGACAGTTTTCTTCACAACAGACACTCCTAAAGTTGAGCACTGAAAACCTGAGAAGTTAAACATAGAGGAAATATGGAGGTCATGTTCAAGAGACTGGAATGGAAAAGCAAGACACACTGTCCAAAAACCAGAGGCCAGTGGTAAACAATATTCTCATGCCATTGGTCAAAGCCAGGCTGGACAGGAAGGCAAATAGAAGGCCCACCAGCAAGACCCACCATCTAAGAGACCAGCAAGGAGCCAAACGCCACCTCTCCTGGCCTCAGAGTGCTCACACTTATGAGACTACTCCCAGGTAGCTGGGGTGGGGACATACTTAGCTAGAGACTGCCAGGCTCAGACAGGAGACTGAGCAAAAAGGCTCCAGCCAGAGAGGTCCAGACTCTACTCTTGCTGATCAGCCACAGGATGTCAGGGCAAGGGCTCAGAGCAAAGCTCTGGATCCCAGCTCAGCCTCAACAAACTCCACAACAAGCTCAGGAACTAGGCTGGCACCCCCCGAGGTTCTGTACTCTCACCTGCAGATAGATGGACCACAGTTGCCACTACAAGACAAACCCAGCACGTCAAAGCGGCACACAGCGGAGACCACACACCCGCCCACTGCATGCACTGAACACCTGCTGTCCACTGACTATTGCCACAGGCCCCGGGGGGCACAGCTGTGGGACAACAGGACCAAACCCCTGAACGCTAGTTGATAGCCCAAGACAATGTAGAAAAAATAGAAAAATAAAACACTGGGGGCAGACGGCTCTGAGTTCTACGGAAAGAAAACAGTGGAGCTGGGGGAAGGTAGGAGGAGCAGCATGACTTTGCTGCTGTGAGGAGTGCGTCCGGGGGGCGGGGGGGCTTCAGCAAAGAAGTGGCATTTGGGCCGCACATGGAGGTGGAAAGGAAAGAGTCATGTACAGATCTGGGAAGGAATGGTCCAGATAGGGAAACGGTACGTGCATAGATAGGCCTTGATGTAGGACAGGCCTGGCCTGTGGAAAGCAGGGCAAGGAGGGCAGGGAGAGAAGCAGAAGGAAGAGCATGTAGGGAGTGAGGCTGGACTGGAACCACGGCAGGGCGAGCACACAGTAGGTTCTCAAGCAGCAATGGCCGGACACTCCACACCTATTACGGTCTATCCTTTAGCCATCTCGAAGTCTGAGTTCTTCCAAGATACCAGGCTTCAGGTGAGGAGCACAGAGAACCCTGACGCTGCCCAAAGCCTACATGGGGACATTAGGGGGCTCCCAAGGAGACCCACAAGGCTTCATCCACCAACCCAAGAAGCAGCTGATACCCAGCAAGAGCAAAGCTGCTCCTAGGGCAGCTGAGAAAATTATTCCTATGCCTGCCAACCAGGCTTGTGTCTGGGACTAGAGGCTGAAAGGCTAATCGGGGTGTAGGGCCAGCGTCTCCTAGGTCCCCAGAGCTTCATACTGCCTCTGTGGTTGTCACCTCAGCAGCCAAGCAGGACAAGTTGAGCTTTAGGATATCACTGTGGATAAGAATGGACATAAAGGACAGCCTATGGTAGGAGGCCAGCATCTGAGGCTACTTCCATGGAAACCCATTTCTCTCTATCCAGTTTCCCATGAGGCCAAATGAAGACTGGGCTGCAATGAGATTCCCAAGGCTTGGGCACAGGGTTCACCATTCTCCTTCATGTGGTCTCCTCTGAACACTCCCAGTTTTGCCGAGCCTACGCTACACTTAGAGGCATGTTCAAAGGCTGCTCCTCCATCCTGGGATACCCTGGGCTTCAGTTCCACTTAATGATACAAAACTGAGGTCAGGATGCTCCACCAACCTCCCTAGTACCACCCTATTTGCCCTCAAACCAAACATTCCCTACACAAACTTACTTACTAAACAGTCACTTACTGTCTGTCTATGTTAGACACTCCAGATCACACCCACTACAGCTCACGCTACATCACAGAAACACCACCACTGAGGCCTCAGGGGACATTTATGGAACACTAACTTCATGGCAGGCAGCTTCCTGGGAGCTAGGAAGGCAGGCCAGCCCTGGAGCTTAGTGGAAACTGCCGGGGGTTAAGGCCAGCTCAGCACACAAATGCCCCCAGCAAATGTGTCTGTGAGTGGCAGGAGGTGCGGCCTGTCCCTGGGAGAGCCCTAGGCTCTGGCTCAGAAGCACACAGGCTACACTGAAGCCCCACAGCCTTCTGGCCTCCACTCCCATCCGTATAATGGAGCCAATACAGCCCTCTGCACTGGCAGGCCATTAGCAAATTAAATTAGCTGGTCCATCTCTGGGCCCTCAGCTCCTTCCTGGGGCCAGTTCCTCTGGAAAAGCCCCATCATCAGCACCGCGCCTCTGAGGTATCTGCGGCCCTGTCTGAAGCTCCAAACAGCCCCCTTCATTCTTGCTTTAGCCACTGACCCTCCTGATACCTGCCACCCTCACCCACTGTTCACCAGCAACCCTCTCAAGGGGTGGGCTCTGCCTGCCCCTCCTGCTGTCTGTGAGCTGCCCCTCGTCTGCCTCTCTTCATTGTCAGTCCCTGGCAGGGCTCCAATGACAGGCCAGAGGGGAGGGGCATGTGTCCATGTTTCACTCACAGCAAAGCCCTGGCCAAGGCCCAGCCACAGGGACCAGCTGCATCTGTTGCAGGAAGGGTCTTGCCCAGGGCAGGAGTTAGGAGCAGAGAATTGAGAATAACTATCGCACAAGCTTTGCGGCATCGTAGCAGACCTACTTGGGGGCTGGCAAGGACCACAGAGATTGCTGGGAGTGATGACGCAGTTGCTTCCACCCTAGCTATGTGCCAAGGCCTTTAGGTGTCACGGCTGGTTGTGCCAACTATGGCCCCAAGCACTGGAAGCCCAGCTGAGCCAGAGGAAACTGTCTGCAGGCTGCACTGGCCTGTGTCGCAGAGCCTAGAGGTGCCACTGTGACCAGTGTTGTTACTGTTATTGCTGCCATCGCTAGCTCACCGCTAAAGGACCACTTAGTGCTACCTGGTCCTTCCTGGGGCAGAGCAGAGACAGGGTAGTACTGGTAGGAAGGCCTTTTGATTTGAGGCCCAACATGTTGCATGGCTCGGAAGCACCTGCTGTAGATACCTCTCCTGGTACAGCGGTCTCCTGAACCTCGCCTTCCACTAGGCACACACCTACAGGGGACCCTGCCGAAGGAGCCTGGTGGTAGAGGACTCAGCCACCACCCCACGGTGCCCACCCAACCTAGGAGAGAGGAGAATTCTTAAGTGATCAAGGGTTTGAAGTTCACACATGCTGGGTCTGTACCAGCACTGCATTAACAATAGGCTTTCTGCATGCATATAGCCGTGTCTCCCTGGAGAAGATGGTCCCACCTACTTTCTCCCCAAGGATGTCTGACCCTTTCCCCGTTCCCACTATGCTGAGGCTGGTCCAGTGGGCCATATGCCCACAGCTATGCATTTATTCTCACAAGTGGCTCCGCCTATCCGGGGTCACCTGCTATGATAGTGAACTTTGTGTCTCCTGGCTAGTTGAAGGGACCTCTTGAACACAGTGGATGATTTTGCTGAGAAGCCTCTTTGGCGATCCCCCTACAAGCCCTGGGGGGACAATCCTGGGAATACAGAGGAAGAGGTCTTCAAGGAGGAACCTGGTACTCAGATCTCCCCTCCCTGACCCTCTCCTGTCACGCTGGCAGATTTTGGTGAGGGGTCCCAAATCAGCCACCTGGTGCTGGGCCAAGCTAGAATCTAGTCCGGAGGGACAGCAGCCAGGGCGGGCTTTTGTTCATCTCTCAGAAAGTGTGTTAAGGCCGGGAGGCTAAGCCTTCTGGGTTCCCACCTCGGAGGAGGCGGCAGCTGATTTCAGTGGCATGTGGGCGCCTAGGCAATCCGGAGAGCCGAAGCAGCCTCACCAGGGCTCGGGAGGCAGATGCCAGGGCCAGAAAGTCCCCAGATCATTACTGCCGGGTTCGGGCTTGGGTACAGGTAGTGAGGAAGCAACTAGAAAAGGGCCAAAGACTGTACCACACTCTGGGGACTGGCAGAGAAGGGCAGCCCCAAATCCCACCAGGTCCACTCGGTAGGGAGGCAGAACCTCCCAGAATTTGAGGCCTTTACCAAAGAGACACTTGCCTTTGAACTCCATTCCCAGCATTCTAAGGTATTCAGACAGACGTGTGCACAAACTAAGGCAGGGACTGTCTCAAGGGCCTCAGCTCTCCGGCGCTCCTACGAAGCTGTCTAGGGCTCTCCACTTCCGCTGCCTCTTTCAAAGGGTCTAGTCCCCCACTGGACACCAGAATAGACTTGTGCGTCCAGGAGAAATTCCTCTGCCCTGAGCCCCCTGTTGGTTTCTCAAGACCGACTTTAAGAAGCAAAAGGTGCCCCTGGACTTGCAGACTGACTGGATGGTGAAGAACCACGTCCAGAATATTTTTACTCCATGACAGCACAGGCGGCAGGAAAGAAATTACTCCAAAGATCCAGGTCTTAGCAGGGGGAATTCTCAGGTCGCTGGTCAAGCCTGTGCACCCACTCCGTACCCCTTCTTGATCACAGGTCTCTCTGGTAAGGTCACGCCTAGGACCGATGCTGCGCGCAAAAGTGACTCCGCCCGCTGCCTAGCAAGCCCCCTCAATCAAGCCGGCCGAGGAGGGGGATCGAGAGCTCCTCAAAGTTTCCGAGAGTGTCCCCCCTGCCCCGCAACACACATACCCCGGGACAGAGGTTAGCCTGGAGCAAAGTTCCCTGGTGGCTGTAGCCCGAAACATGGCAGTGGAAGAAAAGCTCGCTGTCAGCATTTCATCTGGTGGTTCACCACCGGAGAGGAGAAAAAGAAAAGGAACAGAAGGAGCCCTTCTGCCTCACCTTTCCTGTTGCTGCACCACCCCGCGCTCACCCGGGGCGGGAAGCTGCCTGATGAGAGCTGGGGCCGAGCGGGTGGGCCGTGCGCCCGCGGCCGCCTTCTTACCTCGGTCAGTGGCCGGGGCGCGGCGCGTCCCGCGTCCTCCAAGATCCGCGCGGCCGTTCCCGGTCCCGGCCGCCGCTGCGCTGGCTGCATTGCCACCGTTGCCGCCGCCGCCTCAGCGCAGCCCCTGGGAGCGCTCCACGCCGAGGGGCGCGTCGCCAGCCATGGGTTGGGGGCGCACGCCCAGACGGCGCCCCCAGCCACTCGGCGCTCGCTCCGGGCTCGCCGCTGGCTTCTGTCACTCAGTCCCGCGGCAAGCACCGCCGACCCACCCCCTCCCCCGCCGCAGTTATCTGATCCCGGGCAGGGCCGGGCGCGCTCCCCTGCACAGGGTGTGGGTGTCCTGCACCTCCCAACGGGCTTCGACCGCACAGGGCCCCCTCCCCCGGCGACCGTTCCCAGGGAGGCGGTGGCAGCGCAGTCGCGGCGTGGCCGGGGGAAGATGGGGAACGAGGAATGGAGGGCGAGGAGGCGGCGGGTGGCAGAAGCTCTGCGCGCACCCAGCTCCGCGCCCCGCTGCCACAGTAGCCCAGCTCGGCAACTCCTCCAACTCTCCGCCAAAAGCACGCCCGCCCTGCGCGGCGGCGCCGCTGATCCCGCCCACCACCGCCCTGGTCTGGCCCCGTGGCCCCTCCTGGCCCCAGCTGCCCCCCACACGCACCAGCCACTTGCGCACTGGAGCGCGCGCGCGCGAACACATACACGCGCACGCGCGGGGCACACACACACACACACATCTTTTCGGGGACACGCGCACGCACAGGTGCATGGCAAGCATATACTCAGACTACACACACACACACACACACACACACACACACACACAGGCAAGGAAGGGAATCTGGACCGGCTGCACGCAGCAGGATACCAAGCTCAGGCGTCACCTGCACAAAATGCATGTGATGAGGAGCACAGTGGCTAAGGTGTACAGGTGCACGCATAGTCACATATGCACGTGTGGAGTAGGATCTGTCAACACATCCACACAGGAAGGCTTCTAAGCTCATGCATTCCCCTTGCACACCAAGCATGGGGTCATATGCACACTCTGCCTTCTTTAATATCATATCTCTTCTTTCCATCTTGTGTTTAGCTTTCGTCTCTTGTTTTCTCCTGCGTGCTCCTCCCCCTGGCCTCTCCACTGATTTGATTCCATGTGTCTCCTCTCCCCTTGACCAATCTTGACTGGAAAGCACCCCTGGTACTCTGCTCTCCCAGGCTCCTGGAGCATATTGTCTGGGCCTCACATCTCTGCCTCCTGCAGGGCCTGGACCTTTCAGCCTGGCAGACAGATCAGCCTTAGCTGGCCTCAGGGAAATCCCATTTTAACACAGGGCTGACCCCCAGCTCAACCCTAAGGCTGAAGAATCTGGCCAAGAAGGCAGGTCTACAACCAGAACACAAGCTTCATAAAACTCCCCAGCCCCTTGGTCTCCAGCTCCCACATAATGTGAAATAGAATTATGCATTTGAATAGCAGAGACACTAGATGCAGGATCCTAGCCAAGAAGCATGGCTTTCTGGCCACCCAGATGCCCAGGCTCTGCTGGCTTATTCAGAGCTCTGCAGAACCCACCAGCCCAACTCCAGAGAGCCAATGTCTCATCCAGGCCCCAGAGTCCCCAGAGAACTCTCCCACCTCAGGCTGTGCATATCCTACCTCCTTGACGGAGCAATCCTCCACACAAGGTACTTCAACACTCAGTGTCAGGATTCCCTGCGCTCACATGGATGTTATGGGCTTACTGGGTTACAGGACTGCAGTGAAGATTAAATGAGATCAGTGTGTGTACAGTTCTTAACCTGGGAGAGGGGCTGAGTGAAACAGCTCGTGGGTCTTGGGTACTCAGTCTATGCTGGCCTCTACGCTAAGGCTGGAGTTATTCTGCTGTACCCCTGAAAGGTACAACCATTGACCCACTTTGCAGATAAAGAAACTGAGGCACAGAGGTTTAGTTGCTTTTCTAGTCAGAGAGACAGACTGGTGGAGGGAGTCTCAAACCAAATGTATCCTTAAGACGGCCATGTCTCCCTGTCTCACCAACAACTGTCCAGACTACAACAGAGAGAATATGGCTATTCCCAGGGACTCCATTCCCAGGCTCCCAGACCTAACTTGGACAGGCACACGATGTCCTGATTTCCACCTTCTCCTGAGTGACCAAGGAGGAAAATGGCTCAGGTCCCCCTGCTCCATTTTACCCAGCCCTGGTGCCCAGAAAACAGAAGCCAAAGGCAGGAGTAAGGAGAAGACTTCCCTTGCCTACAATCTTGTCTGCCCTCTCAGGGAGAGCAGACACATGTCACACTCAGGGGACTCCACCACAGACACGCCAAAGAGCTCACAGCATGCTGGTGGACAGAAAAATGGACAGAGCTCTATGATGCTCCCTCGGGTCTAGGATCTTTGTTTTTTGAGACAGTGTTTCTCTGTGTAACAGCCCTAACTGTCCTGGAACTCTCTTTGCAGAACAGACTGGCCCTGAACTCAGAGATCTGCCTGCCTCTGCCTCCTGAGGGCTAGGATTAAAGGCATGCGCCCCACGCCTGACTTCAGATCTAGGACCTTGAGCAGCTCCTGTAATGAAATGAGTTCGAGGGCCTTATGCTGGAGCATACACGCACATATGCAGCCACTATCAGCTGCTATCTAAACAAGGGAAGCCTGTGTAAAGTCAGTGCTGGGGGTTCTTCCTCCAGGACCTATTAACAGATACATTTCATGTATAGGACAAGTGTCTTGCCCACGGTCATCAAAAAAAAAAAACACCTGCCAGAGAAGTGGCCCTGATTTCCATAGCTACTGCCTTGTAGATGTCACATTCCGCCCTCTAGCTTATGAACAGGGACCAACTTTATTTCTTCAAAATCACATCTCCTTCTAGAATGTTACAATTCTACCAGGCTCATGTTCACAGCCTCCCCATGGGGAGCATGCCCGTGCTCAAAGAGAGAGGGCTGTCACACAGGAAGGCTCTCTCTAACCAGGGTTCTAAGTGTGGAGATGTCATTCCTAGTCTCTCTCTCTCTCTCTCTCTCTCTCTCTCTCTCTCTCTCTCTCACACACACACACACACACACACACACACACACACAAGTCATCCTGCCTCTCTCCAGAGTAGAGGGGAGGAGTGTTCAAGAATGTGTCCGGTCCCAGTTAGACTGCTCCCAGCTCAGGGACCATGGGCACATGTCCCCCTTCCTTCTCTGTAAATCACAGATGTCCCTAAGCACAGAAGACAATTTCTGCAGCCTGCAGGTATTCCCAGGGGCTTGTCTGGCTGTCCTTAATCTAAGAGAATCCTCCTGTGCACGCATACAGCTGGGCCCTGTCTGTTCTCTCAGTCACAAGCCCTATACCCTTAGAGCCTCAGGCTGAGACAGTCAAAGGAAGTCATCAGGTCATTTGGAGACTCCTTCCTTGTCATGAGGACAGCAAAAACATCATAGACATCCAGAGAAAAGCCCCAAAGGCGTGGCTATGCTGTCCCCATAGGAGGTAACAACAGTCTGGAACGTTGGCTTCTCTGCCCAGTAATTCTAAAAACCAACTCCTATGGAAACCAGACAGTCCATGCTCACGGTCCATGCTCACGGTCCATAATCACGGTCCATCCTCATGGTCCATGCTCATGGTCCATCCTCATGGTCCATCCTCATGGTCCATGCTCACGGTCCATGCTCATGGTCCATCCTCAGTGTCTTTACTGGCCTGGCAGCACCTGGAGCTCCCCGGGAACACCTTCTCCTAGAGGCCCACTTAGGATTTCTTCTACCCATCCTAGATATTGGCCCAACCTCTGCCCTTCAGCCCTCCACCCGCTCCATTCTCCCTTCCGGCATACTGGCCAGCCACGCGCCTGATCCTGTCCTGGCCACCTGCTCACATTTCAGGCAGAAATGCTGTTTTTCCATTGCTTTTCCTTCAGGGCACCTCAGGACTCCCCTGGGAAAAGCCACCACTAGGACATCCATACTTCCCCTGTCTTGCTTTGCCTTCTCACCAGATGTCTGGCTTCCTGTGCAGACTAGGGCAGGCACCTGGCTGATGTGCAGACTACGGCAGGTAACATGGGCATGTGGCTATGTCTTCAGAACAAGACGATGAACACAGTGGAGAATACCACTCTTGGACAGGTCTGCTCGGCCCAGTGCTCATAAACACATCTAAATCACCTGCATAGACACTGTACGGGTGTGTGTGTGTGTGTGTGTGTGTGTGTGTGTGTGAGAGAGAGAGAGAGAGAGAGAGAGAGAGAGAGAGAGAGAGAGAGACCGTCTGAGGAACACACCTGGCCTCCTACTCCAATATTAATCCTGCCTCTGATTGATAACCTTCTAAGAAGTCAGAAAGAACTGTGCTTGTGGGCCTCAGGATAAGCTCTTGTGGTAGGAGCCATGGGCAGGAAGTCAAGAGGCGCAGGGAGTGGGGGCATTCTGCCTGAGCCCCGTCCACAATCTAGGCAATCAGTCAAGTGGGAAGAGGCCTGTCGTTCCAGCTATGAGCCACAGAGTAGAGCCCAGGCACAGGAGCTGTGCCCTTAAACTGGCCTCTCTCTTCAGCACCGTTTGTCCCAAGATGCACATTGCTGACAACTATAATAGTGATGTGTATATTGGCCAGTGCCAGCTGCCTGTCTGCCAGGCATCACACGGTAGAGGTAAACACCCACCAACCTCCACTGGAGGTGATAGGCAGGTAGGTACCATCCCAATTAGACAGGTAAAGCTCAGCAGGGACAGAGGCCTTGTCTCCAGGAGAGCTACGGGGGACGGCTGGAACCTTACATGCCTCTCTCTCTCTCTCTCTCTCTCTCTCTCTCTCTCTCTCACACACACACACACACACACACACACACACGCCCTTCCCCTGCCCGGGTACCCGTGGACTTCTGGCTGAGCCAAAAGCATTGATTTAAGGCACCGGACTTCAGAACCATTACTATACTGAGAATAGGACACTGAGTTCACAGCCCCTCCCACCTGTCCGGAAGCTAACATTGATCAGCTGGCAGAGCTGGCAGCTGACTGCTTCCCTGGGCAGGGCTAAGCCCTACTCCTGCTTCTCTCCAGGACGCAGCAGCCAGGGGCCAGGCTGATAGCCAGGACTGTCTACCGTGTTTGAGCCAAACTCATAGGCAACAAAAGGCAGGGGCTTCAAGCCTCTTCTTGTCCAGGCTGTGACACTTCTAAGACATGCCACCAGTCTACCTACTGCCTTAGAGTCACCCCTCTCTCTGAGAGCCTTCATGCTCTGTCTAGTCCCACCTCACACCCCACTTCCTGCTTTCCTCTACCATCCTCAGGGCCAGCAGTGAGCACGACAGTGACTGGCTGATGGATAGGCATGTGTTGGAAGTCAACAAAAGAGAACCCACCCCAGGGCTTCTGCTGATAGGTAGCAGGTGCCAGAGGGCAGGGGCCCTGTATCCTAGGCTGCTTGCTGGGAGCAGGGAGCTGCTGTGGACACTTCTACCACCTGAAGTGACACACCGTGAGAAAAGCAGAGTCGAGACTCTGAGAGGAACTGTATTCCAGATAGGTCTTTT